AGGATGGAAGGCTGAGTCAACCTTGAGCCTGGTGAGATTCAAACTGCCAAATTGCAGACAGCTGGCAGTCAACAGAAATAGCCTGCAGTATTGCACTCTAACCACTGTGCCACTATGGCTCATATATATAAGTATATAAGTCTCAAGTGCTATTGCTGTTGCTATTGATATTAATATCCTGTGGGTTATCTTGTATGTAATGCAGTGTTTGCATTTGCATTTAATAGCCTACCTAAAAAGATAACACAGCATGCCAATATTATCACTATATTCCAATATTGGATTCTAACTTCCTATTAAGAATGAATTGAAACCCTGGTGAACAGGCAAATACAAGTTAAAAATCAATGATTAAACATAAATTTAGCTGACTCTTATTATAATAACCTCTCCTGCCTTCAGTTCCTTCAACCAGTGGTGGAAAGTTCCTTGTTTTTTTATTGACTAATGCACTTTAAGCCCAGTGGTGGGATTCAAATAATTTAACAACCGGTTCTCTTGTGATTTCTTCCAACAACCAGTTCACCAAACTGCTCAGAAAGTTAACAACCAGTTCTCCAGAGGTGGTGCAAACTGGCTGAATCCCACCGTTTTAGCCTCTGGCTGGCTTATTTAAAAAAAAGTTTGTTCAATTATGAGATGGCAGTAACATGCTAAAATGCTGAAACAAAGTGCCCTGTTTTGTCCTCAGTAGAGAACAAAACTTCAGACTACTGGAGGGCAGAATTTCAAAGCATTCATTTGGAATGTGGAACATTTTGTATAGCTCTGCTTACAAATTATTGCACATACATATTTTCACATGACAACAGTACTTAAGCACTGTTACATTCAAGAGCTTCTATTTTATTCACGACGGGAATGAGCAGATAGAAAAGATGCACCCCTGTAAATATCTACAAAGCTACACTAATACCTTAACATCTGTGCTGTAATGCTCAATAGATCCTAATCCTTCTCCTGTGTTGGCATGTCATGAAAGGAAGCAGCATATTCTTCTCCTTAGAAATAAATGATTCACATCACAAAGTATTTTTAATTGTGCCTGCTTTTTGTTTGAAAGATGATCAAATGACGTTCACATTAGGCGAATGAGGGATGTGTGACTTTTCTGTAAGGACATATCCTTAAAATGGCTGTGCAGTCTCCATTTGAACCATGTATTTCACCTCTATCCACTGTTCAGACACCAGTCAGAGTAACCAGCTTTCCATTCAGTGGAGTTGATACGGCCCAGTTCCCTCTAAGCTTTTTTAACAAAGAAAACAGCATTGTACCATCTGAATGAACTTCAAAGTGGCTGAAAGGGGCACTAAGGATTCCTGGCACTTGTCATTGTCTCCTAGATTGGCCAACATTTCCCTTCAGGTCTAATTACTTCCAAATGCTTCCAGCTGCTTTGAAGAAACTTGGGAGGGAATGAGGGAAGAAAAAGATAGGAAGACATTTCTGAGTGAAAAGAACAGAAGGTAACTAAAACAACAAACAATGTGATATTTAGTGTCAGTTAAAATGAGATGAAAATTGAATCCATAGAACAGTTCTGCCCACACACTCTACTATCATCTATAATACTTAAGAGTGGCTGCTCTAAAAATAATTACAAAGCAAATTCACGTTACTATACAAAACAGCCTGTATCAATCACCCTATTCTTACTGAAATAATGTGGATCTGTATACTTTTCAGTTAGTCCTCCTCTGCATAAGAGCTTAGCGAGTATCTTATTTCTGCATCCTGTGTTGGAAGTTTTCTTTCCTTTGAACCAGTTACTCTTGACATCAGAGCTGGTTTTGGTCTTCCATATATCCTTTTGTATGGGTATACTATTGTATAGTTGGATAGTTGACACTTTGTGCTACATCTTTACATCCCTTCTATTCAGATAATTGTACATATTAGCATGATAAGTTTGCTTGAACAGTATATGTGGCTTCTTTAAAAATAGAGAATTTTGTTTTGATACTTCAACTACATGCATTCTGCTTGATGCCAGATTCTAGATTTGCAATGCAAAATCAGCAAATTAACAGCCCTAGTTCAAGAGTTTCCTACTTTTTTATCCCACTGTTTTTCAGTAAGAGGCAAATTTCTCCTGTCCATCAATTCTTCTACAAGTTTCCATATGTAATGTTGAATGCTAGTTCCTCCAGAAGAATCAGAAAAACGGATGCTTACCAATGCAGAATGATCAATTTGCAGAGGTGCTTCTGTTTCAAAATTTTGTTTTTGAAGGACTATGCTTCCAAACATTAGCTTAGCTTTAGATTATTCTCAGCTTGAGACACACACAAGGATCTTGTCACAAATTCATAAATTCCACTGAATGGTAGTTGAGAAGGCATAATTGTCAAAACTTTGTATTTATTAGATTTTATCCCATTTTTATTACTTTACAAGTAACTCAAGGCAGTGAACATATATACACACTCCTGGTATATACTCCTGGTTTCTAGGCTAGGTAAAACTAATAGTGATTACGAATGGAGGAGAACTCTGATTAATAAGATCTATTGGAAAAGCTCTTATAAAAAGAGCTTTTAAAAACTGCAGATAACGACATTTGCATTATGATGCAGTTTCTTGGAATAAAATCTAAAACACTGAATTGCCTTAATTTGCCTTAATAGTGATGAAGTAAAGTTGATGGAGCCAGCATTCATGATTGACAAATGCAGGGGTGTCCAACCTTGGCAACTTTAAGACTTGTGGACTTCAACTCCAGCTGGCTGAGGAATTCTGGGAGTTGAAGTCCACAAGTCTTAAAGTTGCCAAGATTGGACACCCCTGGACAAATGCTTCTCAGGCAGATAATATACATCCCTGTCTCAAGGAGGATCTTCTTGAGGAAATGCTTCTTTAGCATGTAAGCAAATACCAATAAGCCCTCCCTTTCCAGGTGAAAAAGTTTTTGTAGTTTTGGAAATTGCAGACAGTTCTCACATAGCAGACAAGCTGTGAACCAAAAGGGTGGAAAGAAAAAGAAAAATACATTCTGTAGCTTCTAAGAAAACCAGAATTTGCAGAAAGGATTTTCCTGGTAACACATTGGCATGATTCCAAGGAACTCCTATAGAGGAAAAGAAATGTTAAGTAAGAATGTACTAATCTGGCTTCTTTTTCTATCTGTTTGTACAGAGACAATCAAATAATCAGTCTTAAAAATTCAACCCTTGTGCATTTTGTGCAAATTATCCTTCATATAAGACTTGCATCTAAATGAGAGCACATTAGAGTTGCATGGGTATCTGCTAAATCTTTTGTCCTGTATGTGTTCGAGACACTGCCTGATTGTAGCACCCCTATATTTTTGTTTTCTACACCACTATGGTTTTGCATGTAAATACAGGTAGTCCTAGACTTACAACAGTTTGTTCAGTGACTCTTCAAAGTTACAATGGCATTGAAATAGTGACTGTTTTTGACTGTTATGATTGTTATTCACACTTATGAGCGTTGCAGCATCCCCATGGTCATGTGATCAAAATTTGGAAGCTTGGGGACTGGTTCATATTGATGATAGTTGCAGTGTTCCGGGGTCACGTAATCCACTTTTGTGACGTGACAAACAAAGAAAATGGGGGAAGTCTACTTCACTTAACAACCATGCTACTAACTTAACAAGTGCAGTGAGTCACTTAACTATGACAAGAAAGGTCATAAAATGGGGCAAAACTTACTTACTTAGCAGTAGCAATTTTGGACTCAATTGTGGTCATACGTTGAGGACTACCGGTAGTTTTAAAAAAAATTAGAAGATCAACTTTCATGAGATTGATACATTTCTCCATGGATAGATGGGGCCAATATAAGTGGCATTCCGGTTTTTCACCCAGGAAAATAGTAGCTAAATAGTTTCTATCTGCTTTTTCTCTCTCTTTTTTTATAATTTAATAAGCATGCACATTTCTATTGCTCAATAAGGCATGCCAGTTGTAAAGAAAAGAGCAAGTATAAACATCCCCCTGAAAGCAAGAAGGTAACAGCAAAAACAGTCACTACATTAAAGCAGGAAGCAGAGCTAGATTGTAGGACTGGATGTTTTCAGGGAGAGCTGATTTGAGTTCTCCAGCTTTACCCCTACAGATTCAGTAGTGCCGCTACAAAAGGAATTGTAATTTTTTTATGTGTACCACAATTTAGTGAGAGAGCTTGATCCAGCTGAAACAAAAGTACCAATTCCTTACAGCATGCTTGTTGAATAACCCTAAAGATCACATTCAGGTCTCATTTAATCTGTTCTAATCCTGCCTGGACTACAATTGGAGTTCATCTTGGAAAAATCCAAACAAGGACACTTTATTAATTCTAAGTGTATGCTAGCTAGAAAACAATTATATACTGTAGAATTGATTGTAATAAATTCACTGTATGCATTATGTTTCTTGAACACCTTCACTTTGAGTACAGAGCTTCCTGCCTTTGGCAGTGTCCTAGACAGAATTCAAGTTAAAGGTGTTATATGAAGAAACTGTGTTGGCCATTTGCTCTCCAGGGAATATAAAAGTCAAACCAAAAGAAAATGGAGCAAGCACTTTGAGCAATTTGTTTCAATACATGCAATAATATATGTAATAATCATGTTGAGGTTGTTAGACAAATATCTTCTTCAATCAAAGTAAGTTTATAGGCTAATAGTAACTAGTGCCTCTTGTCAATGCTGCAAGCCTTTGATTACTTTTGATTGCAATTGCAATTATACTTCCAAATGTGATTATATGTGTAAATATAAAGCCAATGTGAAAAACCCTTCTAGTACAGGATCTGGCTTGAGTTGGAGAAATCAAAGTTCACACCCTCATTCACTCAGAACTCACTGGCTAAATTTAGGCTGGTTGATCACCTACCTCTTAACAGATAATATGGTTAATATAATATTTATATCATATGACACACATCGGAAGCATCTGCTTCCTAATATAGTTTTGAATACATCAGCATCCCAGCTAACGTGTCTCCTTTGTCTTAGGAGCATCTAGTATTAGGTATACCAGAAACAACGCAAAGCAACAGTAATTTGTTGTACAAAGCTAATATGTAGAAATAAACACTCTGGAGAACTCCTGTTGATCACTCTGGTTATTACCATTCTTACTTTAAAGCTGACATGGCAACAGATTCAAATGTGTATCATTAATTACACACACATCATATATAAATCAGGAATAGTGAGCTTGCTACTTCAGTTGTTGCTAGATTACAGCTTCAACATGGTTGACGATCAGAGGTATTGATAGCTGTAATCCAACATCCACAGGAGCAGTTCTTCCTAGTTATGTTCCTTAAGTCCCACTGAATTTACTAGAGCTTACTTCTGAGTTCCTTAAGATACAAGTACCCTTCTTTTAGGCCTGATCTTTCTTTCACAACAGAACCAGATTCATTAGGCTACGCCCTGCCTCCATGTGTAAGGTTTACTATTTCACAGCTTTCCCCCCCTCCCCTGCTGGCAGAGGGGCTGGGTCTTGCATGATGTGGGATCCTCACGCATGCTGTTTGTTATTCTGCCCCTTTCTGAAAGTTTTTCTTTCGTCCTACAAAGAAGAGGCGGAGTGGGGAGGCCAAAGGACTCTTTGAAGATACTTGACTTTCTATGATTAATTGCAACAAGGAGCCCACACAAGGGAGGGAGGTTATTTTTGATTTATTGACGTTTCTTTGTAAGAACAAATTTATAGCAGAGGGAAGCAGCTTCTTAAGAGGAATATCAAATGGTTAAAAGGTTCCATGCACTCTTTGATGTCATGGCCCTGTGGAATGTGGGAACGGATTGAAGGACAGGCACTGTTTATTCATAAAATAAAGATCAGGTACCTGCCGTTGGCACAGATTTGGGGCTGGGCTCCTATTTAAGAACTTAAGACAGTGCTCAGGCCTGGAGATGACAAGAGCCCTTGATGTGGCCAAGCCTCCCAAGCGTACTCACCCTTTCCACACACCTCTAGGAGGTGGCACCTGTTTTTCTCATTAGGAAAGTAAAAACATTACCTGACTATGAATGGCATCAGAAGGGCAGAGCAGAGTTTCAGATAGCCACCATCTGCTCCAGGAATTGTATTACAAGAAACTCCCAACAAACTCAGAGTTATTTTAGGCAACACTGACAGCCACTAAGCACCCCAACAGAGATGGCAAACAGAGCGGAGAAGGAAGGTAAGTTGTCATTCCAGGAAGTCAGCACATTTTGTAGGAAATTCCATATTACAAGTCTGCGGCTCATTTTGTTTCTGAGTTCAGCAAGATCTTCTTAGTAACAGGAATGCAGGTTTTTCACTCATCAGGTTTCTAGAAATCCAGAAGCTAAGGAAATTAAGAATTTCAACATAAATAACAGATTTGCCCCAAATTAATTAACAAATCTCAGTTCCATTTGCCCAGTGAGGATATTACCAGTTAAACATCTCCCTGTAAAAGGAGATTAAGATGCTTTTGCCCATATCCTTATCTTATGAATTATGGAATCTGAGCTGTTGTACACACCAGCTGTGGCAAGATTTTTTCCATGTGTTCCACTTCCACCCTAGTTACATCTTCAGTCTGAGCTTGCCGTGCTGCTCGTGCTGCTGCTTCTGCAAAAGACACAAACATGGCAAGCAAAAATAAGTACATGGCACATTGGGAAGGCTGGCAAAGACGGCATGTAGCAAGGGTTTTTCTTAATGGAAAAGGGTATTTTATGTTTGTGATCCTTTTTCTTGTTGCCGTTATTATAAAAATAAAATTATTAGAGAGCAAGCATGTGCTCTTTTTATATGTATACTTGACACATGACTAGATAATTCATAAGAGGCAGAGAGATCCTAAGTAGTAACTCACAGATTAAAATTTCTAGAAATTTTTGATTTTTAATCAGCATGCATACTTTTAAAGCAGTTCATATTAAGATCAGAAATCGATTCTGGGATCGGAATAAAAAAATGAGATTTATGAGTGATACACTTGCTTCTGCTAAATACATCAAGGGATGAATAAGAAGACTGGAACTTCATTGTACAAGAAAAACGTTAAGGTGCTATAGGCCCTCTCCCACCTTTCTATGACTCAGTGTAGTTTAATTACCTCGGACAAATATTTTAAGCATTTCAGCCATCAGCAACACTGCATCACCACTGGCTGAAAGAGAAGGAAAGTTCCTATGAGACCATGTCTAAGCATCATCATTCCCCACACACACTGAACATGCACATGCAACCCCAGAACCCATACGCCATGGCTATTGTTTAAGTTATTTCTCATGTTCCAGGGCACGGTCTTGCCACAGAAACATTTGGGAAGATGTCCAGCAGCAGTTGGCCTCTTTACAGAGGCAGAAGGGGAAGCAATTACCGTACCTCGGGTTTTGTCATCTTTGAAGTGGAGTTGGAGCAGTTTGTTCACAGTCTCCTGCATAGAAAGGGACAATTCAGTCAAGAATTGTTAATGGAGAAAAAGCGAATCTTTATCTTTCCAGTTAAAAAAAACTACTCAATAGGTAATGTAATATATTTTAGGTCACCTCCTGTTGGCATAGAAATACGTCAAAAGAAACTGACCAAATATATTACCAGGCTTACATCTTTTTCTTTTGAGAGCAAGAGGGAATCAACTCTTGAAGCCTTCATACCTACACAATATGAAGATCCTATCATCCACTCTTCTAGCTGCTTGGACCAAATTTTAATTACTTAACAGTACATCTCCCATCCATTTCTACCAGCCATCCCACCTGTTTACAATTATTTACTTTGATGAACACTATTCCTTGCTTTTTTAAAAATTTTCCTTCTAGTCTTTCTGGAAATGGTAGAAAACCAATAAAGTACATTGTTTGGCATTTTCCATTATTCCTACTGACAGTTGGTTTCTTTGGGTGGGGGGAATAAAGGCATACAGAAGTTTTTTTTTTAATCTCAGTAAATAGGAAAATGTTTAGAAAAAAATAGAGTTAAATGATATTAAATGATTATAGTCAAGTATCATATATCCAATATCTTATATGTACACTTTGGGGGGGAAATCTCTTGTAGTTTAAAAGCAAAACAACCCTCCTTTATCTTTGTTTTCTATTCTTATTAGAACAATGCAACTTCAAAAATAATATGATATATTGTTAAAGTTCTCTAACCAACATTTACATTTACTGTTATGCTAGTTAAAACAGGCTGCAAACCACTGGTTTGGCTGGGAGAACTATTATTTTGTTTGTCATCTTGAAGAGCTATCTCCCATTAAAGGAGCATTTGTCTCAACTTCAAAGCTATTGGACTTTATGCACTTTTGTGTACTGTGTAAAAAAACTTTTAAGTACTTAACACAGTAAATCTGTAGACACATCTACCAGGTAATGAATTCAATGGGCTTTCTCTTAGGTAAGGGTATGTAAAAATATATCTTACCTGGATTTACAAATTTCATAGCCATTTCTTTGTTAAAAACCCATACCATTTCTGAATTTTGAGCTCTAAACCAACAAATTACTGATTAATCTAGAAAGTAAGGTCATATGTATTGAATATTTTTTTAGGTTGGGGTTTTAAGTGATACAATAATATCAAAGTCAGTGCATCAAAACTGAGAAATTCTAGCAATTCTGCATTCCACATAACCTGAATGTACATAGCAATATAACTTTTGATTAGAGACACAAAATAAAAGTGATGAAGAAAATATGATTTTTCTGGGAAACTTTATTAATTTGTAAATAAGACAAGCTGCATTTTTATTCCAAAACTGAAGAAAGTGACCTAGAACACTACAGTTTAGTAACTGCAATTCTAGCAACTGAACTAGTATATGAATCCATGTATGATATATAGCAACTGTTTTAAACATAAATTGATACTAAATTGGACATGGATTACCCCGCTAATTAAGTACTCTTACTCGATTTACCACTTAATCAAACCTCACCCCAAAAATTCTTGTTTAGAAGATCAACACACTGATGAAAATAATTCCATGAATTGGTCTTCTGGGGAAGAAATGGCGGATTGAAGATGAATGCAGGAAAAGCAGGGTGGAATGAAGAGCTGTCAGGTAGACCAGCTTTTTGTAATTCCTCTCCAGACAAGAGGATTTGAGAATGTCCACAAGTGCTCCAGATAGTTGCTCTCTACAGATCATTGGTGAGTTTAGAGCTCTGAGAAATGGGGGAATAACCGTCTTGACCAAACCAGTCAAGCACCTTTGAAACAACACTGAGTTCATGTATTTTCTTTTTAATCACTTTTGGAAATTTAACAATTTTTCAACTGTTATGAACCTTTGGATCAATATGTTTTACAGAACTGAATGGGTTTCTTTAATCCTCACCGAAAGAAGTTATTAAGGACAAAAATTAAGGGATAAATAGTAAAAATGTGATTAAATTTTTGATTTTAAAAAGTTTCAAATGGTTATGGACCCAGATAAATTTGAAATAACATTTTGGAGTTAATTATAAAGAACCATTCTTGTAGGAAAATATAATTTTGAATTTTTTAAAAAATGAAAAAGACAAAATTAGGCATTAAAGGAAAATAGATGAAACATTACAATTATAGAAGGACACTCAAACTCAACTTACAAATACAGAATGCAGCAAAATATTTTAACATTGGACATACTAAAATATTTTTGAACAATGAACATAGATAACACTGTTTAAAAAATACTATGGAAGAGCTTTTACCTGACATGATTGAGACTGATTTGAAAGTGGATTTAAAAACGACGGACTACATGAATAACATGGAAAAAGATGTTACACTGGATATACAAATATGCTGATATTTTAATAAAACTGTGTGACATGGATAATTATCCTATACTAGATTTACAAAAGAGGTATGTTAAAGCTTTGAAGAATTTTGTGGGAAGAGCAAGTATTGAAAAGAAATCAAGTTCTGAGTCATTGTTTGAAGGGAGTAGAGATCAAGATTGAGAGGAGAAAAAGGAAGGAATATAAAGTTAGTGTATTTGATCAAGGCTAAAATAGCTATCCTTCCTCTGGTAACCCTTAATGGACATCTGCTGATATCACGACTGAAATGACAAGGTTTGATGAATGTGTTTACAGATAAGAGATAGGATATAGATTTTATAAAAATGGGAAAGAAGATCATTTGTATTTTAAAATGTGATGTTACTAAAATTGTTTATTCTTTCTGTGATAAAAGGGGGAAGTCACTTTTTAATTTTGTTTACTATATTCTTTCTTTTCTTATTTTTTATATTTTATCTATTCTGCACCTTCTATTTTTATTTTTAGTCTATTAGTTTTTATTGTTGTAAATTGTAATATTTAATAAAATTATTTAAAGTAATAATTCTATGAATTATAAAGAGAATTAAGAGTTTATAAGTATAGTAAGAAAAAACTAGAAAGAACTGAGCATTAAAAAAAGAAGTTCAAATGGATTAGTAGCAACTGTTAAATATCTGATTGGCAGGCAGATGGAAAAAAAGTATATTTCCAAGCACACCTAGTTTGCTATTCTGCTCACTTTTACTCAGATCACATATTTATATAATATACAAATGTACACAATACAAAAGCTATCTAAGTAATAATTCTTAACAAAGAATATCCAAACAACTACAAAGTTTACAGAATGTAAGCTATATTATCTCACTTGAAACATTTTATACCATTTCTTCAACCTGATGAAGGTTGGGTTTCAGGGAGAGAGGAAAGGAAGACAAGCTTCATGGGCTTATGCTAATCAGAATAGGAGGAGCACCACATCTTTTTTTCTAATAGTTTTTTTAAAAAATTCCCTTCCATGAAAGGTAAAGGGGAAAAAAGTGTTCTTCCAGCTCTAGAGCCAGGTACTTTTGTCTTCCTATTCATGCAATTGTATATCAAGTCAGACTATTAGTAAACCAAGTTCAATATTATGTATCCTGCCTAGCAGGTTTCTAAGATTTCAGCTCTTTTGCAGTTGTACTTGCCAACACTTTACAAAGAAGCTGTGATTTGTCTTCTAAAACTTTGGACTTCGGCTTAGGGATACTTAATCAATGTAAAATTGAGCTATAAAACTGGGCTAATTAAAACTGGGCATTCAATTATGCTCTTGAAGTAAAAATTTTTTTTAAAAAATACATTTTTTTGTACAAAAGAAGCAGGCACATTTATATTCTACTGCAGGCTTAATAGGAAACAAAATAGAAAATGAACGAAGCTCTAGTGCTATCTACTGTATCAGTCTAGAACTGCTCCAAAGAATTTCATTAATTCAACACCTAACATTTGCTTGAAGAAACATCAAATGATACGTTTGTGTGTCATTTAAAATGCATTTTGGGAAAATAATAGTTATTAATATACAGCTTCAGTAGCTGAGTGAAACTTATTATTCAGTACTGAGATAACAATTTACTCCAAAATGAATTCAACTTTTATATGTTTCCTGGCCTCTTAGCAGTCTGTCCCCTCCTTTATTACTTTGCTATCCTGACTGTACTGCCCTATTAGACCTTCCAGAATCCAGATTCCATTTTATCTTCCATTACTAAATGTTTAGGGAAACTATTATCCTCAGGATGTGACCCCTGGACACTCTTTTAAAAAAACATTTTTAATTTTCCTTTGATTTTATGGACAATATTCCAGTTTTAATATTGTGATCTCTCTCAGTTCAACAGTATACTTTATCCAATTTTTAATTAAATCCCAAGTATTATTTAAAGTTAAGTCTGGGGCTGTTTCTTTCCTAATCAAAGCTGTCACCGGTTTTGAACATAACAATTTATATCTAATTACGTGTTCATAACGTAGACATGCTCTTATCCATGCAACGAAAAGAGTTCCAAGGAACTGCGCTCAGTATATAGTTGTGTACTTCCATCCTAACGGCGTAACAACTAACAAAAGAGCCTTTGTCTTCGCGTTATAATGTAAAGCTAGTGTGCACAAATACATTATGATGAATAAACAGATTATTTCGTAATAATAGAAATTATTAATAAACATGGATTAAACTTGTCCCGTAGACGGTATTAGGGGCGGCAAAACAAGACCTCATATCCGGCGCCCCCAGTCCAGGATACCAGAGAGACTCGATTTCATTTTATAGCCCAACTTAACCTATTTTTCTAACTCGTACTTTATAGGCGCCGCCTCAATCATCTTTATAGCTCATGGGCAGTTCTTCCAAAAGTCCTCTAATTTTTGCTTTTCAGCCAGCGGGGCCTCAATTTCTTCCCCACTCACCAACTCGACCAATTCCTACTACACAGACTCCATTCCCAGACTGCCAATGGACCGGTCTATTCCTGCCTCAGTTCAAGTTGCAGCCTCCGCCCTGCCAGACAGCCGGATCCCCGAGCCTTAAATTCTTCTCCTTATGCAACAATACCCCAACCCTTGGGATAGCTGGTCTGCATGGGAAGCCTCCGGCCATTCCCACGTTACATCTCCCGATACATCCTGGTACGAATTGCTAAAACTTCGAATTGCCGGCGCCTCTTTCCTTTCTCCTTTCTCGCCCATCTTAAATCCTAACCCAGAAAGTCCAAGTTGAACTCTTTGTTGTTGTGGTTTCCCCACTGTTTGCTTCTCCCGGCCCATTTCCCTAACCTTTTTGAAGCCTCCCGCGCACTCTTCCCCGGTCTCCATTTCACACAGCATTCCCTTGATTAGATTCGGCGCTCAAAACCATCAGGACATCGCGTGGCATGTTGGGAAGTGTAGTTCCTGGAGTCCCACCCTCAAACCGTTTACTTCCGGAGAAGACCGGGGCCACCAGCGTCTTGCAAGAAAGAGGCATGCTGGGAAGCGTAGTTGATTTCCCCCCCCCCTCCTCCCGCCCTTCAGTCTCTGTAAAGCGGCTGATCTGAAAAAGAGGCGGGAGGCTTAAGTTAGAAGTTTCATTTTAGGAAAGAAAAGCGAGCTGAGCTGGGGTCGGTGCCCGAAAGCATCGAGTCAGGCTCTGAGGATGGAGGAAATGGGGAAAGAAGGGGGAGCGATCACAATATGAGAGTCTTGATTACAGTAAGTGGTCCAGGAAGGCCATCCGCGGCAGGGCGCCCAGGTGTCCTGCTTTGTGAACGCGTTTTCTCAGTTTCTCATGGACGCTTGCTTAGCGGTTCCGCTTTCTTAGCCTTTTGCTCATCGGCCCTGGTTTTCGGAAAAGTTGTGAGAATGGACTTGTGGGTGGGCGTTGTGTCGACCCTATTGAATCATAGTCCTACACTTTAGTTCTTTGCTTGTGAGACTTCCGTCCGAGAAAATAGGTGGATTCACACGTGAACAAGCGACGATTTAGGACCGAGATCTATGTCGGTGCCATAATATATTGAACACCTAGGACTTACTATTAGATATTGCAACTCAACTCTGTTGAATTCACTACTGTAATCTAAAAAAAAAAAAAGCTTTAAAAAGTGGCTTGGGGATCTGGATTTTTATTTTCTAAAGGCAATTCTAGGATTTGAGTGCAGTTTAGGATCTGTTTAAATGTAAAAATAATTTAGAAGTCTCTTTAAATGGTTACACACCAACAAGTTATCTTTAATAGTTGATGTTTCCTTTATCTTTTTCCTCATTCGTACACTTCAGTTTGTTTAATTTTTCCACTTGTAAGTATTTAAAGAGAGATGAAAATGAGTTTAGGGTTTACTGTTGAAAGTTCACAAAAAAACTTTAGAAAGGATTAAAAATAAATAATTGCTGGGATGTTTTTGAATAAAATGTAGGAGGACTAGGAAGTTGTATGCATTAAATATTTTCAACCATTTTTATTTCACATTTTAAAAGATTACATTGTATTAATGTTATATCAAGTGAAACAAAGTATTTCTATACAAGATTCCACAGGCTTCAAAACTATGACTTTATTACATGATGATTTAAGGACCAGTTCAGTTTGGGGTGGGTGAGATACTCTTAAATTGTTTCAGTGCTTGGGCTGTGAGAGTAGATTCAGTTTTTGAGTGACGATCACATAAGTGTCAGTTCATTTACTTTGAACTAATTTAAAGTATATAGATTATTACTGTCTGGAATACAGAAACACAAAGTGCCTATTGTAATTATACATAATATGCTACATTACCTTCTTATAGACCACAACACCATAATGGCAACTGGATGATTCTAAAACAAATATCTGGGGAGAGAGGCATCAACTTGGCGCCTTTGTGCAAAACTTTGGCTCCATCCTTACATTTTAAATTAAGTTAAAACATTAGCTTGTTGACACACAAAGAATAGACAAACTTGCCAGATGTCATATGTTTTGCAGAATGTGCAATCCAGATTTTAACAATAAAACCCACACACTGAGTTTCAAGGAATCCTGTACAAAAACCACACATGCGCGCGCACACACACATACAGAGACACAGGGTTGCACACATGTTTATGTTAATGAGTGGTCTCTTAACTCCACAGAAGATACAACTTCAAAGAATGCAATTTTACCTCAAAACAGTTGTGCCATAAAACAAGCATTAAATGTATTGTTTATTTCATTGGATCATTTTTATTTTTCTGGATCTTAGCATATGTTTTAACTGATATCTTTGCTATTGACCTTTTGAAGAAATATACTCTATATAGTATGAATAACTCAGTAAATCTACTGTTTTTCGGTAGAGAGAAACAACGCCAAAGAAATAATTAAAATGCCTCTGAACTACAGTTCCCAGCATGCCCTATTTTCCAGGTAGTAAGATGTAGAAGACAAGATATTTAACTACAATTCCCAACATGCTGCAGTCTCCTTAGTTACAAAAATAGGCATTAGCAGTTGAAGGGCGAGGCTTTAGTTCTAGCAACCGTCAGCAAGCTTTTGAACCAAGTTTGACTGTCTCAAGGCTTCTAGTAACAGAGGTGTAAGCTGAGGAAGCTGGTTTCAACATTTGGAGATCACTTAGATTAGGTTCAAATCAGATCACTAAGCAAAATGTGCTCTGGCAATAATCTGCAGTTGTTGTTATCCACCAGGCTACCGGCTGCTGCCTTTTGATCTTGCCATCAGTCTTAACCCCTTATCTACATGGGGGAATGAGTGAAGCTGATGCCTGCCACAGAGATGGATGCCTTCCGACAGTCTTATACCAGGCTGTGCAAAGAGAACGGTGCTGAGCCTCAAGAGAGTATCCTGCCACGCTTGGAGGAAGCAACAGGAAGAAACCGCTTGGATTTGGCCACGCAGAGCCTTTCTGTAGATAGTTGCGGAATCCTTGGCAAGCTTTTGCAGGATGACCTCCAGTTCACTGAGCTCATACTGAATGATTGCATGCTGAGTGAAGAAGGTGGGACCTCCTTTGTCCACAAGGCAATTCTTTATTTCTCTCCTGTCCTGAAAACTTATTGGAGTTCATGGCACTTCCATTGTGTTGCTTGCTGTTAACTTCACTTTGTAATAAACCACTCTTGTGTTAACAGTTGGCCTAGACAGGTCATCTCTAAAATGGAGATCAGTCATAAAATTGAGACAAGGACATATGGTGATACATACCTTCCCAAAAGACAGGAGGAGAAAGAAGTGTTAGAGTGGTTCAAGAGTATATTCTCATGATCAGCCAAAGTAAATCTATACATTATTTAATAATATGACAGTGGTTTCACATGTCACATCAAGCATGAACTCACCCACTCTGGTTTACTCAATAAATCATGGTTAAACAAAACAAGATTCAGTACAAGGTGTGAATGTGGATGTTTTTTTAATAATTGGGAAACTTGCTAACTTTTTCAGATATGATTCTTTTTCCTTGTAGGAGCTAAGCTGCTATTACATGGACTTTGCTCCAATACAGTTGTGAAGTTCTTAAATCTGAAGGTGAGTGTGCTGCACCTTAATCTTAGGATAGCAAAATGTTAAAGATGCTTTTGCTTTGGGGAATAATAGCAGGGTGAATTTAAAATAGTCAAAAGCTTTCTGAGGCAAATCATATAACTGGAGTCTATAGGGTATGTGCAAACTTACAAAACCTGTTGTTTTTAGAATAGCAGTTGAAGATAAGTAATTTTTGAATAATTAAATAAGAATATAAAATGCACAAATAGAATAAAGGTAAAGAAAGAAAGAACTTCTGGTAAATTGTTTTTCAGCTGTTCAGTTTTTAAGCATATTTATATTTCCCAATCCTTACTAGATAATTTGGTATTAGAGATTATAGTAGCATTATTAAATTTATTATTAATTGACTATATTGTCACACACATACTGGTCAGTATATGGATATATATATATAAGCATACATATTCGTGACTCAGATTTACATTCTTTCCAAATCAATACTGGGAAGCTATTGATAAAATTTCTATGCTACCTTTCTATTTATACAGAAAATGATGGTAGAATCATAAAGATAATGTGGAACCATTAAATGTAAAACATAGAAATGGACATGAATTCATGAATTCTGTAGTGAGAAGTGCAAACAATGCAAATGAATATGAATTAGCAAGTGTGAAGAGGAGACGGTCAAGTGTGTTGAATTTTCAGAGTTCTGTGGATGAAGCCATGGTTCTGTTTAATGTCTGGATGTATCCATGTTTTGGGTAATGGAGAGACTAACTCGTTTGGTTTCTTTTAGGGAAACAACATGCGAACTGTTGGGGCTGAAGCTCTGGGAAAGCTCCTCAGGCAAAACAAAACTATCCAGAGGTGAGCAATCATAGGAATGGGGTGGGTGGGGGTCTGTCAACTGTGCACACCCAATTGGTTCAGATTGTCAGAGGAGGCTTCCTATATTTGCATTATGTCTGCTTGGGAGAGGACTCCGGATTCCCTTTTCAACTACAACCTATGTCTTCTATGCCTCTATTAATTGCCTCCTTCTTCCCAAGGCTCACTTTGGAGTGGAACAATCTAGGTGTATGGGAAGAAAGCTTCACTATCTTCTGTGAGGGGCTCGGTGCAAACCACCATCTCCAGATGTTGGATCTGCGCAATAATCAAATCAACCATCAGGGAGCAGGAGAACTGGCCATGGCACTAAAAGCCAATTCTAGTCTACAAGAACTTGGTAAGCCTGGCCTTTTTAAAAACAGAGGGTAACTCCCATCCCTTCCCCTTTGACAACCGAGACCATTTTACTGGGAAATAAAAACTGCTAATTGTTTTTTATGCTTGGTTTATTAAGAATTTTGATTATAATAGTCAAATCTGGTATAAAGTAAACTTAAAGAAAAAAATAGGAGTAAGAAGTATGTGGTATTTCTTCATTACATATCCCATCTCTTATCTACAAACAAATCCATAAAACATCATGTTTTTAGTCCTGGTGTCAGTAGAAAGTCCTTAAAAGGGTTGCCAAAAGTAACTATGTGTCTTGTTATAACCTTGATCAAATAAACCAGCTTTATATTCCTTCCTTTTACTTCTAACAGTTTAGTTCATTCAGAAATTGTCATAGGATTTAATTTCTCTTCATTTCTTCTTTGTGCCATTCTTCAAGGTTTTAACAAGCCACTTTTGTAAAACCAGTAAGAAAAAAATAGATCACTCTCTGGGTTTATCATTTATATTTCCCTTTTAAATTTTAAAATTTCATCCAATTTATTTTGTAGATCCAATGAAACACCCTTTTCTTAGTCATTCTCTTGGCCTGTCAGTTGTAAATCCAATTTCCTGTCTTGTCAGATAAAATTTGTTCTACATCTATCATTTATTCAATAACATCTTTTGGCCATCATTACTGACATTGTTGATATTGTGGCTATTGTTTTCTGA